AGGGGAGAGGGGCAGAGGGGGGACTCCCACATGACGAGGACCTGAGCCTGGGTCTTCTAAGGTGTAGCAAGGGTTTTAGGAGTCACCAAAATACCTTAATTACATGAAACTTTCATGACACATTAATTTCACAAATTTCGCATTTTAAAAAAAATGGTGAAATTAAAGTGACCCAAACAATAAGTGTCACAAACATAACATGATGCGAAAATTAAGTGATTCACATTATGTTACTGCTGACATGTAGTCCTGCCATTGTGTTTTTGTTACTTTTGACGTTATTGTACCTTTGATAAAGTCAGTTTACTGAATTCAAGGACATGTTTATATGTAACATTGCCAAGGAAATAAATTGTGTGTTGCTGTTAAACGTGAAATTAAAGTGATTTAGAATACAAAATTTTAGCAAAATCGCGGAATTTAAGTGTCATGAAATATGCCCACCTCAAAATCGCGAAATAAAAGTGTCGCAAAAATATCATGTAATAAGGTAACCTGGCATCCTGTCACACAATAAATTCAAAATGAAGTCTCAAAATGCCTGCCTGGCCACAAAGGAGCTCTTATCTTTTGGGGTTCTTAATGTTTTATTTTTGAGATTAATTTTGCTCCACTACCTTAACAAGGTTCTCATGATTCATCAGAGGATTTATCTAAAACCGCCGTTTCAGCGTTCTTCTTATGGCATTTGACCGGCTTTGGGGGTGTGGCTGTCAAGATATATACGAGAATCTAAATTGCATTTGCGTACATTGGGGAACAAGCGATAATCTTTGATGCTATTTGAGGTATTGCTTAAACATAGTACTGGTGATATAGACAAAAGCAGGCTAACAGTATCACTAGAATTTGAGTATGCTCTAAAGTAATGCTACCCATATATCATTTTATACTTTCGATCCGTTCAGCACGAAACTGACATGTATCCAGTCAGAAGCATTTACCCCTGTCTTCCCTCCGACGGTAATCTAGCATCTCAAGATAATAAGATAGATTCACTATAAATTGCGTACCTGTCACTGTATTAAAACGTGTAATTTGTTGTCTCCTGAACATAAGAACATATTCAACGCAATATCAACCAGGCGTTCCTTCCTTCAGTTCCAATCCAGGCCAATGTGGTCACGTGTACAAATTCGACCAATCAGGCGAGTCATGCGTGGCTTACATGCGTTCTTCCACCTTTGATCTTCCTTTACAACGAAGCTTCAAGGATTTCGCCGGTCGGGTCCTGAATTTTAGTGAAGTGTTGTGCACTCTTGGTTGAATCACTTCTTTAGGATATTCAAAGTAAGTGACAATCTCATCCTTGGGTCTCTGTAATGCTTTGGAATCGCTGTTTTGTAGCGATGGGGGGAATTAACTTGGGAAACTTGCCGTTTTCAATTCTGATATTAGAGAGCGTCACCCGCCATAATTTCCGTACGCAGATTTCTCGAATACTTGGTAGTCTGTCTAGTTTAAAAAGAAATATTCACTTCGAAGAACGTCTTACACTGCTGTGCTCAAAGGAGTTGAAATGCCTTTACTTGATTTCTGCCTTCGCCGGTCGAATACTTTTCAACGTGATGGGTCACGTGGCTTCGTAAATTTCAGCAAGAATTGGAACTTTACTCGCGTTTGCCGAATCCAGTATTGATAATTGCTGTATTGCCCAGCTTGGAACGTTTCTTTTGTTTGATGCTAATCAATTATTATATCGACATCTTTTTGGAAGTGGTGTCTTATCTGCATACAGTATTTGCTTTTAGAATTCAACCTGATCTTTCTGTCCAGACGTATTGAACATGTTTTACACAAGATGCATTACTCCTTCAGTTGATTAATTAAGAAATAAGTTTAGGCCTGTGTTTGTCTGTTCTGCATTGAACGTTACTTTGGTCAATCTGGGAGATGAAGGAATGCCAATTAATTGTCATCAGCTTAATTATTATTTTAAACCTAAAGAATTTAGGAACATCAAAATTTGTACTTGCAACAACTTGGGCCTAGGGATAGTATGTGGGTTATGGTATTCAGTGTAGTCACTTGGAAAAAGTTAGATGTAAATCCTTTCTAATATTGCTACAATCAGAAATATTTGGATAATAAACTGAAAAGTTTTTCTATGTAACAAGCAGTGCTTTTAACTTTTTGTTAAGATTAAACTTGAAGTTTCAAAAAGATATAAAACAATTCCACAATCTTCAAGGAATCTTACCAGCTCCAAACATATCTCTTGCAGATGGCAAAGGTAGCAACTAGTGAAAAACAGCTCCATTTCGTAGAAAACTTTGGACTGAGTGGTGCCGCAGCTATCATTTCCAAAACTGCTGCTGCCCCAATTGAACGAGTGAAGCTTCTTGTTCAAAATCAAGATGAGATGTTAAAGGCAGGACGTCTAGATACCCCATACAAGGGTGTTATCGACTGCACAGCTAGAACGTACAAAGCAGAGGGCTTCCTTTCATTTTGGAGAGGTGAGTGGTTGCAAAATCCATAACAATCAATCCCTTCTCAAGCATGTGAGAGGCCAGCGAATGAAAAGCTTGGGAGGCACTCAAAGGTTAAGGGTGTGAAAGTGACCAAAATTAGGAAGAGGGGGAGGGTAAACTCCATCAAAAGTGCAGATTTGATTGGTTTGTTCCAAATGTGAAACTTGGTTCATTTGCAACCGTGGAAAAAGCCCATCAACAGTGTAAAAGTTTTCCAAAAAAACCTGCAATACGATGCTAGGTATCAAAGTTTCTATGTTCGTGTCCTAATTATGTTGTCTTTGCTTAATTCCTCTTCAAGTAATGTGTTCGTTTTGTTTCTGTCTCACAGGTAACCTTGCTAATTGCATCCGTTACTTCCCAACACAAGCCCTGAACTTTGCATTCAAAGATCAGATAAAGGCTCTTTTCAAACCCAAGAAAACTGATACATATACCATCAAATTTAGCAAGAATATCGCCTCTGGTGGTGCTGCTGGTGCCATGTCTCTCTTGTTTGTGTACTCCTTGGATTACTGCCGAACAAGGTTAGCCAATGACGCAAAGGCAGGCTCCAAAGGTGGCGAGAGGCAGTTCAATGGCATCATTGACGTGTACCGCAAGACACTGAAGTCAGATGGTATTGCTGGTCTATACAGGGGCTTTGTCATCTCCTGTGTGGGTATTGTGGTGTACCGTGGCTTCTACTTTGGTCTCTACGACACCCTGAAGCCATTGCTGCTGGGCGAGGATGCTGGTCTCATCATGTCATTTGTCCTTGGGTATGGTGTAACAGTTTCCGCTGGTTTGATGTCCTATCCCATTGACACCATCCGTCGTCGTATGATGATGACATCAGGAGAAGCTGTCAAGTACCGGGGTTCAATTGATTGCACAGTCCAGATTCTCAAGAACGAGGGCTTCATGTCATTGATGAAGGGAGCTGGTGCTAACATTCTGCGTGGCATGGCTGGCGCCGGCGTGCTTGCTGGCTTTGACGAGTTCAAGAAGTTGTACATCAGCATCCGCTTCAAGGAGTAAATTTGTGGACTGACATGTTTGTAGCTGTGAATTACTGAGTGAATTGTAACATTTTTCGTGATTTTTACAGATGGGACAAGATGTGCTTGAGTGCATGTGTAATTTGGACTCTTTTGCAATTTGTACCTGTTTGTTTCTAGTTATTTTATGTAATAATGTTGGACTGTTTAGTGTGGAATACGCTGTACAGAGAATAATGTCTCTAGTAATGGAACTGACATAAATAAAAAGTAATGTTAGTACATTGTCAAGTTATGCTGTTTTATGCATTATCATGTCAAGTACATTGGACATTTAAACAACAGTGTTCATAACAGATTCAAAGATTCTTGAAAATTTATGGCAATTGGCAAACTAGTTAACCAGACCTGGAAAAAGTATGGAGCAAAATATTTTAAGTCTAGAAAAAAGTGAGACTTGGAGCTGAAACAAGTGTTTGGTGTGATAATTTTGTTTGTGAATTCTGGCCTTAGTCAAATTTTGTGTAAATTCTAGCTTGGCCAAAATGTTCAACTGCAGATCTATTCTCTACCCTACAGCTGGCATATCTGCCGTCTCCACAATGCAGCAGTGTTACTGTTTGTAGTGCTAACAGTGCTTTGGGGTTAAATTTTAGGAAGTGTGCTTGTAGAAGTCTGGACATTAGGACATCTTAAATTTTGTGGACAAAAGTGTCCATGAATCCTGTGAACAACACTTCATTATTAACAGTATCTTCCTTTATGCTACAATGAAACACTACTGACAGTAGTAACGATTGAACCCCCCTTGAATTTTGTAGTGCTTTTTGGGGGGCACTTATTTGAGGTCTGCACTCTGCAAAGAATCGTAACAGTGGTAAATGTTAACAACAAAATATGACCTCTTCGAACTGAAAAAAATTGTAATCCAAAAGAATAAATTTCTGAGGCTGGTGTAGATTGAGTTGTACTTGTACTTGTTTTGAGTTAGACCCCTCGAACAATTCATTCTGATGCTCTTATAAAGTGCCGCATTGAGGTGAATGAATAAGGCACTCACTTGAGGGAAGTGCCTTAAAAATATTTTTGCTCTGACAAGTGCTGCTTAATCAGGGGCGGTGCTTACTTGGAGGGGGGGGGGGG